AATCAAAGGCATCCCACAGTTTGAAAGAATTCAATTCATCTAGGCCTGGCAATCTTTGACGGTTCACCCAATTGACCACGCCCTTTCAAATACATGAGAGCAAAATAAGCAAACCTACACGGTATTTATTAAATCAGCAAGCTATTTCCCCTATCCTAATTGCCTAAGCATTTTTGTAAGTAAGACTCGCGAATAAAAATTTCCCTAGAGGATGTTATATTCACAAAGTAATACAACACAAAAAGAACAGAATAATTTACAAACAAATTCAAATGGCTGATTGATGCCACGTCACGTTTCCACACACCGCCATTAAATGTACATGCTATCGAAAATACACAACATAAATTTTATGCTCTCCGCAGGCACTTCTTTGACTCCTATCGCAATATCCTCTTGGGTGAACAGTAGATTCGCGATAAATTTACCCCTTAGGAGGACCGTGGGTTGTTTCAAAAATACAATGAGCCGAGAGAATCAATAACCGGAATAGAAAGCACAATAGAGTTGGGAACTTTCGAGAGATTGTCATAACTACTTTATGGCAATGTTACCACGGACACGCCTTCCAATGTACATGCACCAAATAGCCCAACTTTCATCAGCACATAAACTTTTGACTGTACAGACCAATTTTGAAGCAATCCGAACTGATTCCCTTGGAGGAGAGAGTTCAAAACTTAACAACATCAGCAAGCGATAAAGCGAAGTCTTCGCGGAAGTGAAAATTCTCATCATCAAATATAAAGGCTTGGAACTTTCCCGTATAGGAAGGTCTAATAAAAGGTATAGAGAGTCACAAGAGCAATATATTTATTGTTGTATTACTCGTCTCCTTATGAGTAGGCACTGGCCCTTCACATTACCCTTGATTTAAAGGTTTCACATACGATATCGGTGAAACGCGCGTCCCTACGGGACTTGTTTTATGTTCAAAGCCCTGTAACGCCGGAGAGCCATTTTGTTCATGCGCATACTTATGAACACCAACACTAAACACATCGTTCTAATAGAGTACATATTGGTGATGCTACCGAGGTAGAACAAGAGCCAGCGCAGTCTACACGTGCCTTGTGAGATTTCATATTCTAACCTTAACCTATTAGCTTGAGTCACCTTCCCATGTACACGCACAGTGATCTAACCGCGATTCTAACCGGGAGCTCGCAAACAGGAACAGCATAAACGGGGCGAGAGACTTGAAATTCGGCCGGTTATTTTGGGTTCCTCACCTGTTTAGGTGGATGGTGGTCTCCGCACAGGGAGGAGCCCAGTGGAGCCACCCCGTCAGCCAAGGCGTTGATGAACACCCTGAGTTTATCGTTCATTCTCTAAAGGGGCCACCTGTTGTGCTCCATTCCCCGAACGCGCGTGTTTAGTGAGTGACACTGCTTGTAAGTTTTTGAATGTGCGAACCGAACAACCTTTAGCACGAAGTTCAATTAACAGTATAAAAAAGAAAGAAACAAAAATAGTCAAAACTTCCTTTCACCAGAATAATCTACGCTGCCTAGTCACTCAACCTGTTAAATTTGAAGAACGCATAGAGATATCTCAACATTCCATTTTGTGCCACCAGGTCCCTGACAACTTTGCGCCAATAAAATTTGAGTTTTCGTTTATGTTCTAGGGGGATTTCTCCCGTCACAAAGCGCAGTTCAAAGGCGCTTACAAAATAAATAGGTAAGAAAAAGAAAAGCAAAGCAATACAATAGGCGACGCTAAGCAGCGGTTGCTGGCTCGGTCCTAATAATAATAATAATAGGTAAGAAGAAACATAGCAAATACAATAGGGACCTCCAGCGGTCGCTGGCTCGGTCCCTAATAATAACAAACACTATTGTGGTAAATAAATACAGTAATATAAATTTGAAAAAATGTTCATGCTCCAATTGCAAATTAGTTTTGAAGCCAATTGCCAATTATAGCAAAAACTGGTCTAAGCATTACTAAGCATTTGTAGTTAAAATCAGGAATGACAGTATCTGTGATCTGGATGGAGTTAAAACGTTAATCTACCTTTATTGATATAAATGTCAATGTGTAAATATTAGTATTACCTCTCAATAAAACACAGTGCACAAACTGCAGCCTCCAAAATTACTATAAAAAAATTATATACTATTACTATAAAAAACTGCACTCGTATTAGCTCGATTTACCTAATAAATTGGCAACTCAGTGTGCATTATGCTGGGAATCTCCAATTGTTTGGACAACTGTAACTATGCTCATAACTGAGTTTTATAACAGCTGTAAGTGAAGCAAAATGCAGTGAACAGCAGAGCTTTTCATTATTGGGTACCATAAATAAGCAGGTTCAGCTTCTCTGATGACATTGAACGTTGAATAAGATTTTTATTTCACAATGCTTTGCTGCCATCTTGTGACAATGAAACTAACAACATGTCAGAAGGAAGAAGGAGAACCTTTAGGAGGTACGATAGTCCAAGAGTCCTGATCTCAGTACTGCAGTGGCTGAATCCTCAGCTGGGGAGAAAACCTTTACCTCTGAAAAATATTCCACTCATGTAAACCATACCATCAAATAAAGCAGTGGTATTATTGTTTTATTAATTGACATATTAAGGGATTTCGTCACTCCTATTATTATTCTTTGAACTGTTCTTATGATGCTTTGGGGGATGTAAACCCCCCCGGAAGTGCAGGAGATTTGAATTTGACATAGTGCAGGGTTCCCACACATCCTGGAAAAGTTTTCCAGTTATTGAAACAATATTTTAGCCCTTCACTCAGAAACATGTATGTCATGTTATGAAACTTCATTGCAGTATTACCTTACATGGAATGAACTTGCAGCAGTCATTTCAGCTGAAATGTTTGAATTTTCTGTAAAATAAAATAAATCATACTTAAATTAAACTTTTACTTATGGCCTGTGACCAAAGTAATATGTTGGAGGGTTAGAGAAAACTGTAGTAAAATGTAGTCAGTTCACTGGAAGAGTACACAGTGGAAAAATCAGCTGTAGTGAGAACAGCCAAGTGTGCCACACAGCAAAGCGTGCCACAATGAATCAGTGTGGAGTGTGACCACCTACCTGTTATGAACCTGAGATACTTCACCAAAGACCCTGCATCCTTAAAAAAGAAGAATAAAACTAGGATTAAATATGTCAGTACTAGGTCTACTGGTAAAGTATGTGACTGTATAAAGTATACTGTAAAGTATATGAACAAGTGCTGTCTTGTATTGTCAAGAAAACTCCTGGAAAATGTCCTGGAATTTGTCCTGCATTTATCCGGGATAAATTTTTTAAAGTAAGTGGCTTTTTTTTTCACTAAGCCAGTTTTGTTAAAAAATTAGCCCCGCCTCCCATCTGATCCTATGTATGTCCTGTAAATATGGCAGAATTGACAATAGAGTTGACTTTGAATTTACTTTAATTAAGAAAACTGTATCTAGCAAGTAGCGAAGTGTTTTTTCTCGAAGATTTCTCATCTATGATCAAAATCAAAAAATATGTGTATGCTACCCTAGAGGGGCATGCCCCCTCTACTTTAAAACTCGCTCACATTTAGCCAAATCCCACATTTTTTTGATGTTATGCATACTAACATCTCAAAATTGTGACCTATTGATTTCAGAATGATACACTTGGTTATCTTTTTTTGCTACAGATCCATACAAAGCATTTGAGGGTTTGCAAGCAGAAGAGTGTGGGATACTGAACGGCTGTGAAAATGGTCGGTGTGTCCGAGTTCAGGAGGGTTACACCTGCGACTGCTTTGATGGATACACCCTGAACCTGTCCCGCATGGCCTGCGTTGGTAAGAGGGCACTTACACAACTAAAACAAAGAAGAATGAACATAACTTAAAAATATCTCTCATGTTTTATGTTATGTCTCTCCTCCCCTGTCCACAGATGTGAACGAGTGTTCAGAACTAAACAATCGGATGTCGTTATGTAAAAATGCAAAATGCATTAACACAGTGGGCTCCTATCAGTGTGTGTGTCTGCCAGGCTTCACTGCCTCTGAAAAACCCAACTACTGTGTGGAGGCAGCAATACACCAAACATCAGCTCACACACAGTGAGCATGGATGGACAGTAAGGGGCCACAAGAGACACTAAAACCACACGCACAAGCTTGTATTACTATACTTGTGAGGACGCCACTGACTACATTCAGTCATTTGCAAATCCTCAGCACTAACCTTAAAGTTGAACTCTGGTTTGGTTAAATTGTCCAGCAGCACTCCCAAAACACAGCTGATCACCAGCAGTGACCTGGAGGAATGGTAGAGATATTGGGGTCATATAACAAAATCACAGAGTGTACCATTAAACTGTTAAAATCTATTAATAATCATTGCCCAAAATCTTAATCAAACCTCTAGTTTTATACCCCTAAATTTTGTTTTTGAATTCACCAAATTGTTATTCTAATCTTACTCCATAATTTAAAATCCAGATCTGCTGTTTACCAAGTGTCATTATTTTACTCACTTCCTGCATTTCCTGTTCTACAACACTATGGATTTTTACAGTGCTTCTGTTGTAATATATTTGTTATATTTTCTTCATTTTCCAATGTGGGCATTTTAAAATCCTTCCTAAATATTATAAAGTACTCCTACTGTTAAGGCCCTGTTAAAAGCTTTAAAGTATAATTTTTATATTCATTTTTACCGACTAGACGGTTAACATTGTAACCTACTCTGGTTTCTTTGGTTAAAGCAATAGTTTAACAATAGTTTGGTGTACTGTATGCTTAGTTGTAGTCTTTGCAGTTAGATGGAAGATTTCCTGTCCTGCTTTATGAACGGAGCTAGAGGCAGGAGGTTATTAGGTTGGCATAGACTGCAAACAACTTCCAGTCTTTATGCTCAGCTGTACCTACACAGAAAATGAGAGTGCTATCAATCTACTTATCTCGCTCTTGGAAAGTGACTAACTGTATTTTCTCACAATGTTTAGCTTTAGCTTGAATGAGCCGTAATTGGCAGAAAATGGTTCATAATTATTTATTAAAAAGTCAGTTTGGAGAACAAAACGCAAAACCAAAAGAAAGAGAAAGCTAAATCATGACTCCCCTCTTTGCTGTTCTTGGTCCAGCTGTGACAAACATTCACAGTCCTGTATGTTTTGTTTCTGTATTGCTGAATCAGAATGGGGCTAGTAGCAGTTAGTGAATGTTAATGAGTTAATCATGAAGCCAAAAACCTGCAAATAGGCTGTGTTTTTTTGTTTTGAACCTTCAACCTTACTATCACATAGCACTACAAATATAGTTGTTGTTATTTAGTCATTATTAGTGTTAAATGTGAGCATTCAGTATCCCTTATATAACACACTTTACTCTATAGTTACCATTGCATTGAGAATTTTGACACTTATGAATCATAATTTTCACAGAAAGACTCCAAGGTGGTGCCCATTAATTTCAGTGAAAATTGCATGCACTTAAGAATCACTTTTCTTGGATCTGGGAATGTTTTACAAATATAATAGTAATAATAATATCAATGTAAAACCTTCTTGAATTAGAATTGTTTTAGGCATTTTTTTGTCATTTTGAAACTGCAAAAGAAAGTTGAGATTTTTTTCATTAAGGGTTGAAGGCAAGTTATTTTTGTAAGAATAAAATTGCTAGTAGTTTGGTGACATATGGCTAAACATTTTGCGCAGGGTACTGTTACGAATGGTTAAGCTTGCGGGAAAATGACTGGTCAAATTTGAATGAAAAGTCACAGGATCAGGGTTGTTACAGTATATCCTCTAGGAAACATCAATGTGTGTATCAAATGTCAAGCCAATCCATCCAACAGTTGAGACATATCACTCAAAACAACAAGCTATTGGTGGCACTAGAAGAGACCCAGGGGTCATCAGAATTCACCATCTGGGTAACGTGAATGTTTGCACCAAATTTCATGTCATTTCTATCAATCCATGTAAATGAATTGACTCTTCCTAAGTCCCACCCCTTTTTGCTCTGTGCTCCAATAAAAGTTGAGCAAACTTCAGTCAGAACCTTGGTCAACTTTCTCCTTTCCTGTACTTAGATATGGTATGTGCTAGGCTAATCTATGTTGAAAAAACTAGTTAGCCTAATGATTGATCTTGATTAGCTTGCTAGTTAGCTAACATTTTGCTAACATTAGCTGAATCAAAATGCGACAATATATATACACAGATCAGCCATAACAATATGACTATCTGCCTAATATTGTGTAGGTCCCCCTTTCGCAGCTAAAACAGCCCTGACCCATCGAAGCTTGGACTCCACTAGACCTCTGAAGGTGTGCTGTGGTATCTGGCACCAAGACATTAGCAGCAGATCCTTTGTGCTGTAAGTTTTTTGTCCAGCACCTCCCACAGATGCTCAATTGAATTGAGATCTGGGGAACTTGGAGGTCAAGTCAACACTTGTGTTGTGGAACAGCATATTATCCTGCTGAAAGAGGCCACTGCCCTCAGGAGACACAGTTTCTATGAAAGAGTGTACATGGTCTACAACAATACTTAGGTAGGTCGTCAAAAAAACATCCACATGAATGACAGTATCCAAGGTTTCCCAGCAGAACATCACTCCAAGGATCACACTGCCTCCGCCGGTTTCCCATAGTGCATTCTGGTGCCATGTGTTCCCCAGGTAAGCAACACGCACACACCTGGCCATCCACAAGATGTAAAAGAAAACATGATTCATCAGACCAGGCCACCTTCTTTTCCATTGCTCCGTGGTCCAGTTC